GGCACCCGCAACCGTATCCGACCAAACATCCCGTATCGCGTGCAGCACCGTCGAGCCGCTGGGAAACTCATAATTCGCACACATCTCCGAAGGATTTATGTTATATTTTTCCCGAAGCACTCGGCACCATAACAAATTCGGCCTAGACAAAAAGGTCCATGCCAGTTTCATCAGAAGGGCCTTGTTCATCACACGTCGGTCGCGCATTCCCAGTCTCCCAGCGGACTTTGGTCGGCACACCTCCGACCAGGACACGAGGCTAACCTTCTGAGTCGTAGCAGTACCCCCCTCCCCCAAATAAAATTGCGACACTTCCGTTCCAAACTATCACACACACCATGTGGTAGCGAAACAGTCTGCATGGAGAAGTAATGAAGAGAGGCCAGCATAGACTGAGCGAGAGTGACCCGTCCCGCCATGGATAGAGACGAGGCCTTCCACCCGGCGAGCCATTTATCCGCTTTCTCAACAAGCTCCACATACGTGTTCTTTGTCACCCGACTATGAATGGGTGGCATTCCCAAATATTTCCCCAAATTGTCGACCACCTGAAACCCAAGCCGATGGGCCAGAGCAAGTCGAGATTGTGGGTCCACATTTGGCGAGAAAAACACCTGAGTCTTCGGCTCACTCACTTTATGCCCTGAAGCCTGACAAAAGAGGTTCAAAGTAGTTTGTATTCCCTCAACCTGGGCCGGATTTGCCTCCAAGAACAACAATAGATTATCAGCAAACATTAGATATGGCACGAGAACCCGACTATGCCCCACCCGGATTGGCTCCCATGTACCCATCCCCAGTGAGCGATCAATCATATGAGCCAAACGCTCAATACACAAAACAAATAAGTACGGCGAAATCGGGTCACCTTGTCGGATGCCACGATTAGGAGTGAATTCCTCGGTAATCCCACCATTCCACTGCAGTTGCATGGTGGCAGAGGTAATACAGGCCATCACTGCACTAACAAAAACAGTAGGGAAACCAACAAACTCTAGTGACTCCCGGATGAAATCCCACCTAAGATAATCATAAGCTTTCTCCAAATCCACTTTCAGTGCCATGTACCCTCGTTTACCCTTCATGCCCCTCATCGAGTGGATAAGCTCCTGGGCAAGAAAAATGTTATCAGTAATCTGGCGACCAGACCCAAAGCTGGACTGTGCCAGATTGATAAGGAGCGGGAGCACCTTCTTCATCCGGTCCGCCAAAGCTTTCGTCACCACCTTATAGACAACATTCAACAGACTAATTGGCCTGAACTGCTTCAGGCGCGTGGGATTTTCCACTTTCGGTATCAGCACCAGCAGTTTCCGGTTCAAGGATGGAGGAACCGGACACCCACGCCAGATATCGCGAACTTGAGCACAAACAATGGGCCCGACATGGTGCCATTGTTGTTGGAAAAAAACCGCATGTAGACCATCAAGCCTGGGAGCTTTCAAGGGCACCATGCGCTTAACCGCCAGGAATATTTTAGTCTCTGAAATGGACCCTCCAAGAGCCCGAAGCATTGTAGGGGCCACGGCCAGAAAAGCATTCTAAATATGTATCTGAGGTAAATGATCAACCCGGGCCTGATAAATGCCCTTGAAAAAAGCCACCGCCATCTGCTGCATAATCGCCTCATCTACAATCGTCTGGCCCCCGTCATCCACTGGAGAAGGAATAAGGTTCTTCCGACGTCTATACCGAACTAGACGGTGATAATAAGATGTATTCCGGTCACCAAACAGTGTCCAATCTCTCTACGAATTCTGGAGCATCAACAATTCTTCCTGAAGGAGCACTTTATCAAGAACCCCTTGTAACCTATGCACCAAACGACAAATAAAAGGGTTCCTCAAAAAGAGTGGCTTCCTCTGAATGCCCCCAATTCGAGCCAGGAGCCGTCGTTTGCGGCGAAAAATATTGTCAAACACCTCCGAGTTCCAGGCCTTGGCCTTCGAAGCGAAATCCGAGGCCGCCTCCACAAACGACTTCCCCGGCTGCCACAAATGTGCTACAATATCATCAAAGCCTCCATGAGTAATCCAAGAAGCAAGAAACCTAAAAGGCTTGGGTCCCCCACGCCGATCAACTCTAGACGCCCGTAGCAGTAGAGGCGTGTGGTCCGATTGCACCTTCGGAAGATGGCATACCATACTATCCTGAAACATGTCCACCCATGCCGTGTTGCCGACCCACCTATCTAGCTTCTCCGCCAGCCCATTCCTGAACCTCATCATCTGTTCGCCATCCGTTCGAACTTCAAGGAGGTCATTGTTGAAAATCCACTTGGCGAAGGCTGAGCTCGTGTTACAATTATGTAAAGAGCCACCCTGTTTCTTCGACACCCGAAGCAGGCAATTGAAATCCCCACCAACAACCCACGGGCCAGTGACCGATTCCGCTAATGCATTGAGAGACTCCCATAAGGACCTACGAACCACGAGATTCGAGCTAGCATAGACAAAGGTCACGAAAGACCCGAACTCTCCCACTCGAACTCTAGCATGCACATGCTGACGACTGCATTCCAATATCCGAACATCCACATCGGGCTTCCACAACACCCAAATTCCCGCTGATAAACCAGTCGCTTCAACTCGAAAAGACCGGTCATAACCACTTCGTGTAATAAAATTATCTTCATTCGCCTCACTGATGCAGGGTTCAAACACTGCAAAAACATCTGGACTATATTGTTGTCGTAACGTAATAAAGGCTCTCCTGAAAGCGTTAGAAGCAGCCCCTCGAACATTCCATGATGCGATATTCATAACAAAAACAACTTGGAATACACGAGCAGAACCCTACTTAGATCGAACAAGGGACCTGCGTCTCCTCCTCCACGTCCATTACAGCCTCCATACCCCTTGGCATAACCCCCATGGGGCTTTCCTCCTGTATAGCCCGCTACTCAGTAATCTCGGCTGCCTCCATCAGATCATCTCCTGGATCCAACAAGTTCACATCCTCCCTTGCCCGAGAAACGGGCGGCTTATCCACAACAAAGACCGCTTGGTGCTTGGATTGATCTAAAGTCGATGTAGCTGGAATGACAACTGCCGATCGAGTATGTTGTGGTTCAGTCAACATGGCCGAATTTAGAAAACCTCTGAACAGCCGTTTATCCGCTTTAGGACTCTGGCCCACCATTAGAATCACTCGAAACAAGTCCCTTTGAAGCCCGCGAGGACTCCTCTCCCGTGGGGTGGTGCGGGAAGGCCACACCCATGCTGTTCTTTTTTCGCCCGAATACTGTCCGCCACTCCGTCTCTTTCCCCTTACGAGTATCTTGGCCTCGCAACACCGACTCTGAATTGTCTCCCGACCCCGTCGTAAAGCCCGCACCAACCGCTCTGATCCCTCCATCCACAACGGGTTTAGCCTCCTCGACAGTATCGGCAAACACCGAAAATGAGACCCATTAACCGGTCTAGAACCCGCCTGCTTCCCTCCCGCACCCTGGGCAACCGCCCGTGAACGTGGTATCGACCAGGTTGCGGTTTTTGCCACCATCCAAGGCCTGAAAGAGCCCCTGGCGCCCTCACCTTTGTCAAACTCCTTCAAACCCGCCTCAGTGTTATCCATGTTAGTCCCGCCATTCGACCCCATAACTTTAGTTTGCGGGCGGGCAGCCTAATCATCCCTATAGTCCTCGACCCCACCATCCTTTGAAGTTGGGAGATACGGGCACA